CAGGGGGACTCAAGGGAAAACACTTCCGTTGGTTCATCGTCATTCTGATGCTGTTGTCATTTTGTGGCAAAAGGGTGATATGGATCATGTGTTTTTCGTGACGATGGCACAGTTGCTTCCTTGCCTTAAGGATATGCAATCAACTCATTGGTCCATGATAGTGTTCTGGAATGAGTCTCAGAACAACAGTTCCAGACGCGGGCCTGATGTTGGTTTGGACTTCACGGACCAGCCAGCGCCAGCCCCGGTTGCACCGCAACCGCCAGCCGCGGACGACGATGTGGACTATCCAGGATATGATGATCCACAAGGTGATATGCCTGTGGATGATGAGGATATGCCACTACAGCATCCAGATCAGGATTTGGATGATACTCCTGTTGAGTTGCATGTTGGTGGTGACCCTCCGTCACAACCTCCTGGAGGCGGTACTCATGTACCGGTACCAGGGGGCGATGATGATTCCGACCTGGATCACGATCCGGACGGTGGTGGACATCCGCCACGAGGCGGTCCACAGGGACCGGGACCTGGCTATGGTCCTTCACCGGACAACCCTCCTCTTCCGATGGAGTTTCACGAGGAGTCGCCTCCTCCTGGAGGTCCTCCCGACTCTCCTGGGGCTCCGCCGCAGTTTGCGAACCCGGACCAGGTCCTTAGTCCACCGATGCCGTGGGCGGCACCACCTTCACCTATTGTTCCCGTTCCAATTCCGCCGCATCCTCACTTTCCGGTGCCACAGAGTATGAGACCGCCGTCACCTCGTTACGTGTCTCAGACACGTGCAAGAGGAACACATCCTGAAGATGTGTCTAAGGCCAAGTCACGTACTGTTGTGGGACCACCGGTTGTGCTGTTGCCTGGGCAATCTGCGGGAAAGAAGGATCCCGATCCGTCGGGTGACTTTCCAGGTTTTCATGAACCTGCTTCCTCCTCTTCTGATCCGGCTCCTGTTCCTGGTTTGCCGGTGACTGAGGGGGAATTTCCTATCCAGCAAACCCCACTCCCGGAACCCACCCCGGAACCGCCGGTGCCGGAAGCTGGTGAGGACACCGATTCGGATGCAACGGTTGACTATCGTGATGAGAGCTTGCTTGCCTTGGCTATTGGCGACGACGACGTTTTGATCCGCCTTGCGCCGGACTTCAAGGTTCCGTCCTTTGTTCCGTTGGATGGTGATGGTTTTGCGTCGTGGTTGACTAAGCAAGACAAGATAAAGGCGGGTACCCTCACGCCGGAGATGCAGCGCAAGTATGCCGCCGAAATTCGGAAGGCGAAACTTGACGAGTTCAAGAGTTACTTGGGCAATGATGCAATTCGGCTGACGGACCGTCGCAAGCTCAAGACCGATGTCAATTTTCTTACCGGACGTTGGGTCCTTACTGTGAAGGTTGACAAGAACGGTTACTTTTCCAAGTTCAAAGCCCGTTGGGTTTGTCGTGGGTTTCAGGACAAGTTTGCCTGGGACCAACAAACGGACAGCCCTACGGCTACTCGGTATGGTTTCCGTTTGGCTGCGCAGTGCGCTGCCAATCACTATTGGGATCTTTTTCATTTGGATCTTAAGACCGCTTTCCTTCAGGGGGAACACTACAATCTGTCATCTCGCATGGTTGTGGTTCAGTTGCCTCCTGACATCGGTTTGCCTACCTTGATGGTTGGCCTTTGTCTCAGACCAGTCTATGGTCTGAACGATGCACCGAGAAGATGGTGGAATCGTTTGGACAAATTCCTCAGGTCTGTAGGCATGGAACCGACCAGAGCTGACCGATGCACTTATGTCGCATACGACGGCATAGAAGGCAAGAAGGGCAAGAGCCACCTTGCGGCAGGAAGCTCCTCTCAGGAGGAGGAACCTGAAGCAGGAAGCACCTCTCTTGAGGTGGAACCTGCCTACCTTAAGGAGGTCGCCCTTGTTGCCATGACATGCTACGCATACGATGAAGGAAACCGTTCTTCCTCCGACCGTGCGGAGGAGAGATCCTATCTTTCATGTCCCGATATCGCTCAGTGCTTTAACACCGATACCAAGAAGATGGTTGACTATGGTTGGAGGCCTGTGACTGATGATAAGCTTCTCGGATTCTTGGGCAGTGTTGCTTGTAAGAAAAGAGGTTGGTTCCCTTATGAGAACGGGCATGCTCTCGTTTCTCACCGGGCCAAGGCTCTTCGTACTCCTGCACCTGTCTATCAGGTCAAGGACTACCCTTATCGAGTTTCCATGATCCTTCGTAAAGGCACACGGTGGATTGTCGAGAGGGCCCATGATCTGAGGTTGGACAAGGGTGACAAGACCTGTTTCCTTGCCTGATAGATCCTTTGCGTGTAATTTTACACGTTCGGAAAATTTACACGCCAAAAACGGCATAAATGATTTATACGCCAAATTGGGGTGTAAAAAAATTACACTTTTTTGTGTAAATTCTGGCGTGTAAATTTTGTCCTATTTTGTTCAATGGGCCAAGCTGTGCCGAAAAGGTGTTTTGAAAAACAGGCACTAGGAAGTGCGACGTGTCGAAAAAGTAGTGGATTCCGAATGCCGGGCAGGCCGACGTGGCGATAGATTCGTATAGATTCCGATAGCGAGATTTGCCGACAGAGACAACATGTACAGTTGTGACTCCGAAGGCCGACATGGCTTCTCTTGTGTTTCGGTGAAAAAACAAAAGAAAAAAGAGAAAGAGAGAGCCAGAGAGCGAGAGTATATCCTCTAAACCACAGGAGAGCTCCTGAAATCAGTTCTTGCTTGTGTGACTTGTGCATGATTGTCCGTGAGACAGTATCACCTACCCCCCGCCATACATCACTGCAGGGCCACTGGCCTGCGGCTTGAGGGCAAGTCCCTGCACCATTCCACGGACCCAAGTGCGATGACGGCCACCGAGGTCCGGGAGTCCTTGGCCAGAGTTCGGCGATTCCGCGGGCTATTCCCCCGTTTGTCGCTGGCAAACAGTGTGGAGTCACGTGCTAAGCAACCTGCTCAGAGAAATGCCTGGGGAAGCCGCGAGTTCCTTCTCGGCCACTCTTCGCGAGGTCCACAAAGGGGTCATCTCAAAGCAACGGGCTTTCGGGGGCGGCACAACCCGGAAGCACGACCCCTGAGGAAGGTGCACACCCCTCAGGCATGGCGGATCCACCCTGGCCGAGTGGAGGTGAGACTTACACTGGTGTTTGCAAAGACCACGGGGGAGGCCACACATCTAAACAGCATGGCTTGTCTTGTTTTGAAAAAAAGAGAAAGAGACAGCCAGAGAGCGAGAGAGCGAGGTATATATCGGGCAGGGCTATAGGGTTCCCCTGTTCCTTTCTTGGTGTTACACCGAGTTAGGGCAGGGGAACCCTATAGCACTTGGCAGGATGCAGTTTTATTATATGTATCCTAGACCGCAGAGCTCCTGAAATCCATTCTTGCTTGTGTGACTTGTGCATGATTGTCTGAGACAGTATCACCTACCCCCTGCCATACATCACTGCAGGGCCACTGGCCTGCGGCTTGAGGGCAAGTCCCTGCACCACTCCTCGACCGGCAAGTCTGGATGCAGTTCCAGACGGTAGCAGTCGACCTCCTCCAGGAACCGGCTCACGGAGGTCAGCTGCTAGAGGCCAAACAGGCCAAGAAAGCGGTCGTCCACAAGGGGATCATGAAGGAGGAGGAAGCAGACAAGCTTCCGTCCGGGCTTTCGGGGGCGGCAAAACCGGAAGCACACACTCCTGTGACCTTGTGGAAGGAAGGTGCACACCCCTCAGGCATGGCGGATCCACCCTGGCCGAGGGGAGGTGAGACTTATACACTGGTGTTTGCAAAGACCCCGGGGGAGGCCATCTAAAGCCGGAAGGCATTGCGAGTGCACTTGTGATTTTCATGCCGGGCCGTGTGTCTCTTCTCAAGCCCGCCCCTGTCCCTTTCTTGGTGTTACACCGAGTCAGGGCAGGGGTGGGTCTCTCGCACTCAGCAGAGGACATCCTTTTTTGCACTTATTACGGGCTGCCGGGCCGTGTGTCTCTTCTCAAGCCCGCCCCTGTCCCTTTCTTGGTGTTACACCGAGTCAGGGCAGGGGTGGGTCTCTCGCACTCAGCAGAGAGGACATTTTTTTTTCTGCACTTATTACGAACATATAATATGGATGTTTTTTTCTGGTTTAGGATATATATATATATATGTATATATGTCGGGTTGTCGATACATATATATATATATATATATATATGGGTGATTGAGAGACGAGCAGAACAAGTTCACAATCCTGTATCGTTGATAGATGCACAGTGTGCTTTGATGTGACCGCCCTGGATGGCCGGCTATGGTGCGGTGGCAGGACTTGCTCGAACAGTGAATGTGCTCCCGGTTTTGGTGATCTTTTTATCTTTGTGTGGCAGGACAGGCAAGCCGAAGATCTGCGGAGCTCCTCGTGGTCCTGGCAAACATTCTCGGTCTTTTCGTGGCAAGACCTCCGAGAGAGAGAGAGAGAGAGAGAGAGAGAGAGAGAGAGAGAGAGAGAGAGAGAGAGAGAGAGAGAGAGAGAGAGAGAGGGAGAGGAGAGGAGAAGAGAGAGAGAGAGAGAGAGAGAGAGGAGAGGAGAAGAGAGAGAGAGAGAGAGAGAGAGAGAGAGAGAGAGAGAGAGAGAGAGAGAGAGAGAGACAGAGTTGCTTGTGTGCTCACAAGACCGGATGCCAAAGCATGTTTACACATGTGCCTGTGTGTGTGGCTTCGCGAATCAGCGGCAGCTTTTTTTTGGTGTGCAACCGTCGGACGGGTTGCGAAAGCATGTTATGTTATTGACAGGTTTTCACAGACATGTGACATGTGGTAGCATAAGCAGCTTTACTTTCTTTTTGTGCCCGCCTGTCCCTTTCTTGGTGTTACACCGAGTTAGGGCAGGCATCTATAAGATGGTTAGCGAATGTATGTTATTGTTATATAGCTTAGATGTGTTTTTAATTGTAGATTTTGTTTGTGTGGGCACCTTTTATATATAGATCTAAATTCGTAGCTCCTCGCCATGGAGCCGGCCAGCGGGAGTGTGAAGAAGTTGGACAAGACGGCCCTGGAGGGGCTCGATGCCCGCACCGAGAGCACGAAAGTGCCGGAAGATGTTCTGATGGAGGAGCCAGACCCTCCGTCCGACAACGAGACCATGAGCACCGCAAAGCGGTCCAACAGCAAGCCGGAACATGGAAGAGGCCCTCTGCGTGAGGCGAAACAGGCCAAGAAAGCTTTGATCCACAAGGGGGTCATCTCGAAGGAGGAAGCAGACAAGCTGCCCGTCGAGGAGATTTTGGAGATGGTGAAGAAGTACCGCAAGGGCAGCGGCAACCTGACGGAGGCTGTCTTGGAGCAGCTCGCGGAGAAGAAATTGTTTGGAGAGTTTCAAGAGAGCCCGGGCATGAACATGCCAACGATCACGGACGAGCAGGTGGAGGAGGCGGACAAGGAACTCACTTCCTTGTTCCTGTACCAGAAGTGTCCCTTTTGCGACAGGTTTGTGGACGAGTGGCACTTGAAGAATAAGGACCACAAGAGTTACATGAGGGAGCACCTCAGGTCGTCGTACCTCCTCACGGACCCAACTGCGATGACGGCCACCGAGGTGAGGGAGTCCTTCGAGTTCGGCGATTCGGCGGGGGATTGCACCGTTTGTCGCTGGCAAACAGTGTGGAGTACTGGGGCGATGTGGAGAAGCTTCCGTCCTTGGTGCGGAGCATCCATGCCACCAAGGCGATGCAAATCAAATACGGCACGTCCAAGACCGCGAAAACGCACCTCCTGACAAAGGAGCAGGTGGGCTTGTGGGTAAAAAGGAGAACCAATAAAAAATAACGATAAGGTTTATAGAATTTTTATAGAATAGTATAGGAAGAGTGACCACAGAGGGGGTTTGGACACGAGTCCAGGTGGCCAAGTACCATCTGGCCTGGGTGAGCTATGCTCCGACGTCCGGCAAGTACACAAATGCCTCGTACTCCAAGGACCACCTGAAGCTCCACACCGACCTCCAAAGGCCTAAACTTTTTAAACCCTGTAAACCCTCTCTATAACCCCTCTAAAAACCCTATATACCCTCTAAA